TTCTTCATGTATTTCCTTGTTGCTTGGTCTTTGGCCAGTGGAGAGAGAAAATGGGTCGGCGAAAGGGCTGTTAATTTTTGAAGAGGGATTGGGTGTTTAAGTTTGCAAGTTGAAGTGGATTGGAATGCATTGAAAATTTATAACTTAAATGAATTTGATTAAAGCAACCAAGTCCGTAGTAATAATTAATTCTCGCAAGGGACAGGAGCGACATCTAGGCCTATAGGGAAACTTTTAAGACTGTATCCTAATTTTTAGGGAGTTCTCTTATGTGGTTTTGATCATACTTTAAAAATTTGATAATCAATATTTTAAAAATTTTAACTTTTAATATAAAATATGTGGAAAGATAGTGTTTTAAGAAAATGTACTTGAACCACTAATTTAACCAATGGAACTAGTGAATTTGTATGTCAATGGGTTCGATCACCAATTCAGTTATGAAAACTATGGTACCGAGTGTATCAAAACTTAATATAACTATAATGTTTCAAATGCTTTACCTTTATATTCTATCAATCAACTATTTTTTCTTTTGGAATTTTTTATTAGGGCACAAAAAAATGACCCGGAGCACAAAAATATTTTTACCTTGGGCAATCTTTTAAAATTCTTTATTTTATTTTTGCACTTCATATTTAAAAATAAAAACATTGACGTGGGCCGGTGCCCCCCATAGTATGTATGTGAATCCACTCATGCACACACATATATAACTATACATAGAATTATATCAAACCACATATTACACAACTAAGATGATTAATACTATACAAAAGGGGTGTAAATATTGCATTGACTTTCTAAAAATGTCCTTAACCCCTTCTACTCCTCTGCCCAATAATCTAGAGATTGATACCAATGTGTTGAAACTCTGCAAATCAGGCCTTATTGCCTTGTCGCTGTTGTAGCCATTCATTGAGCGCGGGGACTGGTGGTGGTCAGGCTTCCTAGTTACCTTACTAGCTTATTCATTGGATTTCGTGGCTCCTATGATCTTTTGGGGTTGAAGTGATTCATGGAAATGTGGGATCTAAACAATTCACACGGATCAGAGAGGAGACTATGAATCAGAGGAGGGCAGCTCCACTGCTGCTACTGATAGAGACACAAGGAGAAACAGGTCAGATCCCATTCTAATTTGAGCTTGTCAGCCATGGTGGTCGAGGAATAGGGCACTGGGTAAAATCTTTTGCTTTCCCGTGGGGGCTAATCTGGGTCACAATAACTCACTGGTCATGTGGCAGTTTTTCTAAAATGGTTGTCGACTGCAGCGACAATAGGTCGCTCCATTTTCCAAGGGAAGAGAAGAAAGATTGTGAGGGGGATTAATTTTATTTAATGACTAATACCTTACTATTTTGAGTAATGGGAAGAAAGACAAAGAATGGACCAAAAGAGAAAGTGGGAAGAAAATTTTAGGGCATGAGTAATAAATAAGGTTCTAAATATAAGTTACACAAAGACGGCGACAAGTACTTAGTACTTACACAAATGGGGTAAGAAACATGAAAACACCAATTTCCCTAAATTTATAAATGAGTTCGGTGCCGAGACGTCCCCAAGTACCTAATCGGGAACGTTTTGGGGAGTTAATTGAAGAATGCGTGCAACATAGGTCTAAATTAAAAAAGTAATGAATAAAAGAAAAATTGAACCTAGTTGTTGGCAACAAGCCGGCAACTGTGGCCGAATTCACTTGCTTGCCATCATCAACAGTGCAATGATCATCATCAAAGTTGTCATGGCGCATGGCGATGGGCCAATATC